CTCTCTCTCTCTCTCTCTCTCTCTCTCTCTCTCTTTCGTCGTTCTTTCTTATTTTTCTATTCTTCTTTTTCTATTCCATTTCTTAAATTTTAACCGAAAGTTTTCAATCTCGAAATAGTTCAATTGATTCACTAATTTGGTCAATGTCACATTCGATACACAATTTAAATCACTTCCAGAGATATTTCAAATAACAGTTCAAAATCGATAAATTTGACGATTTTCAATCGATGGATCGAGAATATTATATATATGAATTGTGGCGATGACTTGAAGCGACGGTTGAAGACGGCGTATGCCGCTGGTGAGGATGACGTATGTGCGCTGCTTGCTGGCGAGCCGCGAGAAGTTTCCAGTTGCCATGAAGGGCGAGAGACGGAGAAAGCTTAGCAGCAATCACCACTGGTGTGGGCGGTACGTTGGGCGGAGCAACGCTATGGCCCATCCTCGTTGCACAACCGGCGTTATCCCGTAAAGTTCTTCATTCTTGCATTTCTCACCCTCCATTCGTTCTTTCCTACTTTTACCTATTAGGATGTCGAGATATAGTTACTTCGCATGACAGTTTGCTTTCTTTTTGAAGCCAAGGTGTTTCTTCTTTTCGGTCTATTCGTTAACTGCTTCATTGACGATTATCCAATATTTTTAGAAGTCAGATCAATAATTGTTTTTATTTGCTGTGCGTGTTGCTTGAATTGAGAAAGATAGAATTAAGTATGAAACGATGACATCATGACAAAATCATGAAGACATCATGACAAAGTGCAGAAGGCTTGTTTTTTCGTTTTCGAATTCAACACTTCGTTTAAAAATTTGATTTCTTTTCGGAAAGTGTCTACTTCTTCTGGCTCTAACTTGTTAACCAGCTCGATAATTATCGTTCAATGTTTCAAGTTTTTCAAAAATTAAATTGATAATATGCTCATGCACTATTGCTCTTTAATGTATGCTTTATCTTAAATTTTTAGAGATTATGATTGATTCTTTTTATTTCTTAAAAAGCTATTGTCTGTTATGACATATTTTAATTTTTAATCTTAATTCTTTGATTCTCAAATCAATCCAAGTAAAATTTAATTAATCTAGTACAGCAAATTCTTGATAATAAATAATAAATTAATAATAAATAATAAATAATAAATTGTAAAAGAAAATGCTATATTTTTATATATTATATGTTGTATTACTTCCGAGTTATATATTTCCGAGGTATTTATATTAATTTTAAAGAAATTTTCATGTTTTCCTAAAAATGGCATTATAAATTAAATATTAAATATTTCTTATAAACATTTCTTACAATAATATAACTAAATTACATTTCTTAACTCGCTTTTATTTATTTATTTGTTAATGGACAGATAGAGAGAGAGAGAGAGAGAGAGAGAGAGAGAGAGAGAGAAAGAG